CTCCCCCCCCCCCCCTACACACTCCCATACTCATGGATGTCCCAGTTTTGGTGCGCCGGATCCTCACTTGATTGACTCAGCAAATGCAGGGATAAAATATTGGAAGCCGAATGTATTCTGTTTGTCACAAAATTTACGGCGTTTCTCCTCATGTTCTTTTTTTGCAGAACACATTCGATATGTTCCATTCGACAGAAGGCTGCTTACGTTCAATAGGTAATTGTCTCCACTTATCATTGGAATAACGAAGAGTTACTTTACCGCTGCTGGATCCATTTTGATCATGGAGTTTCGTGCGATTTTGGTACGAAAGACGTCCCCAGAGTTGGTGTTTTGTTTCGGTTGCACACCTGTAACCTTTACACAGCCAAGTGCGGACTGTATGTCGATGTATGGTTGTCAATGGCTCTGTAGGAGATCACTCTCTGTTGGCTGCATCTAGCTACAATCCCAAAGTCCATGCATTCCTGTTAGTTTGACACTCTTCCAGCATGGCCTTGAATCAAGGAGTAGATCTCGTCCACCAATTCGCGTTCCACGTTCCGCTCGTCTCATTGGGTGCATGAGGATAAAGGCCAATTCCGAAAATCGGACCGACAATCAACGCACCAGCGAACAACAAACTTAACCGAAATTCAAAGGCCTTACTTGATAGGTCTTCAGAAGCTTCCGGCGGGTGCTTCGTTCACGCTCCCGCGTTGGATTTACGCCCCACTGCCTTGTGGGTCAGACTTTTGAGTCAAAGGCTCTGGTTAGGGTTTCCAAAAAAAACCCCGTCGTCGGTGTGGGCAACCGCGAAGTATGTCGTGTCCAAAATCTTAGGTACCCATTTGGAGAACTGTCTATCTTAACTGTCTATTTCCTCTTCTTACTGCTATACCTTGAGAGATGCATCCTGTTTACACCACCCATCAAATACCACTCAGTGCTCAACTAATGAGGCCAACCACTCAGAGGCTATCAGATTTTTGAAACCAAAATCTCCTTTCCACTTAGCCGCATTTAATGTCCGCACACTCCATCAGATTAGTCAACAAGCAGCCTTAACTAGAACCCGTGAAACCTTCCATTTATATGTATGCTGTGTCTTCGAAACACGCATACAAGACCCTACTTCAATCATCTACTTGCGTTCTCCAGATCCAAATTCATCCTCACGCTTCACTCTCCGTGTATCAGGCGATTCGACATCCGAAGCTCGCGGTGTT